GAAACGACCACCACTGTGGTTTAATTCTTGAACTCAAAACTTTACTGCCTGATTTTTTTGTTACATGTCTTAGTTGACTGATATTTTTTTTTCTTGTTAATTGTTTTGTGAATTTGGAACTTTGTACTTAAGCATTAAAACTGTCTATACTTGTTTTTGTTAAAAGTAATGCATTATGCTTGTGTACTTAGCGTGCTGCCTACATTTGTTTGATGAAAGTATTGCAATATATCTGTGTGTTAAGAGTTATTCTGCCTATATTCATCTGATAAAAGTATTAAAGTATACTTGTGTTTTAGTTACTGATTCTTGATGTGCTTGAAGATTGTAACTGTGTGTTCTGTTCTTATATTTTGTATTAATATCTCTCTTAATCTTTTTTTTTTATCAAACAAAACCTCTACCCTTCACCCAAGCCTTGACCTGAGATCTTGAGTCTCACGGAATCCTGGTAGGGCAGGGTAGTTGATTTCTTTAACTTGGTGTTGAAGACTGTGTGTATTTTAAATTGTTATTTCCGCACTTACACACATTATGTTGCTTTGCCTGTGATATGAAGAATCTCTGTTTTGCTCACTTGTATGTTGTGATCAAATCAGAAATTACTGAGTGTGACATGTTTGATCTAGAAAATGACTTCCACTAGTTTTGAACTTGGGGTCTTTAATGGGAAGGGAGATTTTCCTATATGGCAGCAAAAAATGAGAGGGGTTTTAGTACAACAGAAAGTCTCTAAGGCAATAACTGGAGAGTTTCCTGAAACAATGACACAAGATCAGAAAACTGAATCAAATGACCTAGCCTATACCTCAATAATTCTCCACCTATCTGACCAAGTGCTAAGGAAAGTAGGGAAATTAGAAAATGCTAAGACCTTATGGGAGAAATTAGAGGAACTGTACTTAGTGAAATCCTTACCTAATAAACTCTTCCTTCTAGAAAGGTTCTTTAGTTTTAAGATTGATCCAACCAAAGACCTGGATGATAATCTTGATACCTTTAATAAATTGGTACAAGATATCACCAAAACAGGGGATAAAATTTTTGAAGAATATAAAGCAGTAATACTTCTTAATGCTATACCAGAGGCATATAGGGATGTCAAATCTGCCATTAAGTATGGCAGAGATACTTTGACCCCAGAAGTTGTTATAAATTTCATAAGAAGTAAAGAATTGGAACTTAAAACTGAAAAACATGGGAAGGAACATGAGAGTTTGTACATGAGGGGAAGGCAACCAAATAGGCAAAATAATAACTATCCAAATCAAAACAATTCTGGAAATAGTAACAGGAAGAAGTTCAGGAATAAATCAAGATCTAAACCAAAATCTAAAAATAACAGGAAGTGCTATGGCTGTGGTAAGCTTCGTCATTACATAAAAGACTGCTATAACAAGAAAATTGAACCTAAAGAGAAGAAAGTTGATGAGGGAAATGTAGTTGAGCCTACTGAGCCTAATACTGTTGATGTATATGTGGTGGCTCAGCAACCTGATCTGGAGGTGGCAAATTAGCCCACAATAGATATGTTCAAGAGTGGATTTTGAACTCAGGTTGTACCTTTCATATTACACATGAAAGGTCCTAGCTTCAAGATTTTAAGAAGTTAGCTGGTGGTGAAGTGGTGATGGGGAATAATATTGCCTGCAGAGTTGAAGGACTAGGTAATGTGACCTTAAAATTTGAAAATGGATACATGTATACCCTAGAGAGAGTGAGGTATGTTCCTGAACTTAAAAGAAATCTGATCTCTATGGGAGAATTAGATGACCTAGGGCTGTGTGGTAGGATTAGGGATGGATTGATGAAAGTGATCAAGGGATCTCTTGTCATCTTTAAGGATGTCAAGAAAGATGGAATCTATGTGGTTAGAGCTGAAATAATACTTGAAAATAATACAACTATCTCTAATACTGAATCTGATTCCACCTTAAAATGGCATAAGAGGCTTGCACATGTTGGTGAAAAATGCCTCACAATCCTACATAAAAATGGGGTATTTGGTAAGGACCAAATATCAAAAATATCTTTCTGTTAAAGCTGCTCTTTTGGCAAACATCACAGACTCCATTTTAATTCTGGAAAACATAAAACTACTTCTCCATTGGAATATGTCCACTCTGATTTGTGGGGACCAACCTCCACAACTACTCCAGGGGAAAATAAGTATTTCCTCTCAATAATTGATGGCTTTTCAAGAAAGGTGTGGGTGTTTCTACTAAAGTACAAATCGAAACCTTTGAAAAGTTTAAAAGCTGGAAAGTCCTTATTGAAAATCAAATGTCTACAAAGATTAAAATTTTGAGAACTGATAATGGACTTGAATTGTGCAACTCAGAATTTGATAAACTTTGTGAATCAATTGGAATCCTAAGACACAAAACTGTCCCATACACACCTCAACAGAATGGGGTGGCTGAGAGAATGAATAGGACCTTGTTGGATAAGATTAGGTGTATGATGGTGGGATCAGGAGTTCCTAAGGTGTTGTGGGGGGAGGCTATAATGACAGCTACATATATAGTGAATAGAACCCCTTCTAGTGCTTTGGAAGGTAAGACACCTGAAGAGAAGTGGTCTGGAAAAATACCAGACTATTCCCACCTTAGAATATTCGGGTGTACAGCTTATTGTCACCAGAATTTGGGGAAACTGGAGCCAAGGGCTCAGAAATGTGTGTTCTTAGGTTATCCTGAAGGAATTAAGGGCTATAGGTTATGGGCTAGAGGTCAAGGGGGGTATAAAATGATAACAAGTAGAGATGTTACCTTCAATGAGGAAGAGATGCCCTGTTTAGAAAAACAAAAGTCTGTAGACCCTGAAAACCCAAGTGTGACAAGGTTTCAGGTGGAGTTGGGATCTGAAACTGATTCTGTTCCTAATAATGTGAGAGAAAATGAACCTACACTACCTCAGACTCAAACTGAATTAGAATATTCAGGTGTGGAGGAACATGAACAAACTGAAATGGATGATCCCAGTCAACAAAGTGATCTTAGTGACTATCAATTGACTAGGGATAGGCCTAGAAGGAACATAAGAGAACCTACAAGATATGAAGACTATCTATCCTATTCTGTCATGTCTTATAATGACCTAGCCTATAAGGAACCCAAGACCTATAGTGAAGCCATGAGTTGTAACCAGTCTGGCAAGTGGGAAGTTGCCATGAGAGAAAGATGAGTTCTCTAATGAAGAATAAAACTTGGGATCTTGTGCCTAGACCCAAAAATAAATCCATAGTTGACTGTAAATGGATTTACAAGGTGAAAGAAGGCAGTTCAGATAATGAGCCTGTGAGATTTAAAGCAAGATTAGTTGCTAAAGGGTTTACACAAAAACAGGGTATAGATTACAATAAGATATTTTCACCCGTTGTAAAATACACAACTATAAGAGTCCTACTAGTATTAGTTGCACATCACAATTGGGAATTAGAACAAATGGATGTAAAAACAGCCTTCTTACATGGTGATTTAGATGAGACAATTTATATGTCACAACCTGAAGATTTTGTGAATAAATCTAAATCTGACTTTGTGTGATTGCTTAAGAAATCCTTATATGATTTAAAACAGTCCCTTAGACAATGGTATAAAAAGTTTGATACTTTTGTCATGACTGTTGGTTTTGTAAGAAGCTCTTATGATCATTGCCTTTACTTTAAGAAAGATTCTGATTCTTCAATATCTATTTTTCTGTTACTTTATGTTGATGACATGCTGCTGATTGGGCCTGATTTAAAACAGATAAATGATATTAAAGATACTTTTGGTGCTGAATTTGAAATGAAAAATCTAGGGCATGCTAAAAGGATATTGGGAATGGATATACTTAGAAAAAGAGCACAATACATTTTGATTTTGAAACAATCAGCTTACATAGAAAAAGTTTTATCCAAGTTTTCAATGCATGAATCAAAATCTATGTCTTTGCCTTTAGCTAGTCATTTCAAATTAAATAAAGAGCAATGCCCAATTGATAAATCTGATATAAAGTACATGGAAAAGGTTCCATATGCTAATGTTGTAGGGTCTATAATGTATACCATGATCTGTACCAGACCGATGTGGCTCATGCAATCAGCATTTTAAGTAGATTTATGGCTAATCCTGGTCCCGAACATTGGGAAGAACTTAAGTGGTTACTTAGGTACTTAAAAGGCACTTCTAGCATAGGATTAGTATATAAAAGAGGTAATGAAGGAATAACACTTAAAGGCTTTGTGGATGCTGATTTTGCTGGTGATAGGCACCATAGAAAGTCCACTTCTGCCTATATGTTCACTCTTTGTGGTACCTGTGTGGGTTGGAAGTCCCAATTACAGCCTATAGTTACTTTATCAACCACAGAGACCGAGTATGTAGCTGCCACAGAAGCTGTGAAGGAAGCTTTGTGGCTTAAGGGACTATTATCTGAAATTAGGATGTTAAATGAACCTGTAGTTGTTTATTCAGATAGCCAAAGTACAATACACTTGTGTAAGAATCCGATTTTTCATGAAAGAACTAAACACATAGATGTAAAGTTACATTTTATTAGAGATATTGTCTCAAATGAATCTGTTCTTCTTGAAAAAATTCCTACACAGTACAATCCATCAGACATGGGGACAAAGGTATTGCCTCTTTCTAAGTTTAAATCATGTTTGGCACTTTTGAATATTGATACAGGTTAATTCTTTAAATGCAGGTACAAACTTGGTGTCAATAGGAGGGTTGCAAGTGTTCAGAAATCCCATTGGCATCAAGGTGGAGGTTGTTGGGCTGTGATGACCAATAACCTTTCTGGGTTGTGATGACAAATGGGCTTCGAGATCCTTCCAAACCCTCCTTCTTCGTGACCATCCAATCTCTGATTGGATCTGAAATCTGAGTGATTCTTTCTTTGTGATACTAAATACTAAGTGTATTGGAGGGATTGGTGTGTGATTTACCCTTGTGGTTTCCTTTAATCTGATAGAGGAAAACCTTAGGGTTTGGGGCGATCGGTTTGGGTCATACAGACGGGTACAATCCTGTATTTTCTTGAGTCTGAGCCCCATAGATGAAAGGACCTTCATCTAGATGCCGTTTGGTTCGAGTTTCAGTGAACGGCTGAGGATTTGTTCTTCTGCCATTTTTCTTGTAATATTTTTCTTGTTTATTTTCTAGTTTTGTAGTGATATCTTGGTGTAACAACCACTTTAGATAATTCTTCCCATTCAACCTATAGGCTACTTGAATGTTTTGCAGTTCTCCTGTTGATACAGGATTATTGCTTTCAAATACTATAGCCTTCGAAGGATTGCTGGTTGCTGAAGTATCTGTCATTGTTCTTCAATATAAAGGGTGATTAAACAGTGTTTAATTTATGGTGTGAAAAGGAAGAACAAGAAAAAAGAATACAATTTCCAAAATAACGAGCCCAAAGCTTTGATACATGACAAAGAATAAAAGATTGAAAATATGAATTGCATTGATTTACTATCATTATTACAAGAGTTTATATAGCTGAACTCAATTAGCAAAATAAGAACAATTACCCAAAAATAGAAGATATATAGAAATCTAATGCCTAGAAAACAGGGATTGTGATAACTATCCTAAAAACAAGCAATTATAAAGATTACATAATATTACGTAACTGCACAAATTTTTCCTAAGTTAGGAAAATTATATTTTCCACATGACTCAACTACTCAATCGATTGAGAGAGTAGCCAAATCTATATTAATCAAGGCTCCATTTGAAGGAAAGACTAATTTATCTATAGGTCAGATGGATGATTTCAAACTTGTTCTCAGATTGGAGTGTTTTTCAGATACGAAGACATAATGACGTTGGACAGTAAGCCATGTGTTATCCCCCTCATACAAGCTAGAAGGATCGATGAGAAAAACATCTCATCCATACAACTTAGTAAAGATTTCAAGAGGAAAGGACTATTTTTTTGTGCACTCTTCGATTAGAGAAATTGAAGAGGCTACTGATCCTATTTTGAAACTTGTCAGAAGGCTTATCTAGGATTTTAAGGACATCATGCCTGATAAATAACTAAAGAGATTGCCGCTAAGGAGATTGAGCTTATTTCAGGTGCCAACCTCTCGCCTGAGCACCTTACATAATATCTCAACCTGAGCTTGAAAAGATTAGTAAACAATTGGGAGAAATGTTGGAAAATGAGATTATGGTTCTCTCCTCATACGTTATGACTATTGAGCTTTGAACAAAATTACATGAAGAACAATTATCCTATTCCGCTTGGGGCTGATTGCTTTGACCGACTGAGAAGGGCAAAGTATTATACAAAAATTAATCTTTGATTCGAATATTGGTAAGTTCGGATCAAAGAAGGAGATGAAGCAAAGACTATCATTGTAACTAGATATAGAGCCTTTGAATTCAAGGTCATGCCTTTTGGCCTAAAAAAAAGCTCCCGTGATGTTTTGAACAATGATGAACTAGGTACTTCGTGGGGTTTTGGATGACTTTATGGTAGCGTACTTGAATGACATTGTAATCTATAATAGACCTAGGAGGAACATGTGCAACATGTAAGGAAGGTTCTTGATCGGCTACAAGAGATGAACTTTATGCTAAATTGTTGCAAAAATATATGATTTCATTTGAAATACTGCAAGTGCACGAATCGTTAAAAAGTAGTAAAATGTATTTTGAGACCAAGTATCATATCCACATAAATTATACTGGTTCAAGTTCGAATTAAATTAGCTTAATCAAGGCTATAAAAATTGCTGATTTTTATATAAATAAATCTTAATCAAATAATCTACTTATGAATACAAGACTTAACTAAAATCAATGCAAAATTGTAATGAATGCAAGTTTGATGAAAATATAACAATAAAAGATGCACTAGGATCCCGAATCCTCTTATATCTATCATTTTAAGTCCTAAACTTTATAATTGGACAACACATTTCAATTATGAATATCAATGTTAGTAAATTATTTAATAATTTCTCTCTCAAGTAGGATTAAACATATCTTCACATGTGACCTAACTATATTATGACGGATGCAAACATATAATATAGTATTTCCATTGTCTTTCTTCGGAGACAACTTGTGAACCTTTTGTGGCAAGGTTCTCGTTTGTGACTAGGTATGATATTTTCTTTCATCTTCGAGTTCCTCCTTTCCTCTTATTTTTCCTTCATTTTTGGGTTTATCTACATTTCCTTAAATCTATTACTACGAAATTCTTTCGATGAAAACACCATAAATCTGTCACTTTTGCTCCGGTACAAAATGAATTTGAAAACTCACAATCCTAAAACCTAACGGTTAACGAGGAACGTTCTAACCTAGAGATATGGGGCAAAGTCCCTTCTTTGTCATCGTCTTCGAATGCTATAGAAAATACAAGGCTCGTAGTGGTCTCCCACTAGATGGGAGCCGCCATTGAAGTCTAGGTCATCAGGAGGATAATGCGTGTGGTCCCTACACTTCAAGGTTTTAAAGTAGAAAAGCAGAAAATGAAAGACATTGGAGCGGGTCCTCACAAGGCGATTCTAGAACTTAGGCCTTCATTTGCAATCCACAAGTTCTATCGGTGGTGGACTTGGATGAGGAGTTAACCAACTCTTCCGCATTTAATGTAACATATATAATGAGTCATTGAGTCGGATGGTTCCAGCACATGTGGCGTCTCTTCGTGAATCATTTTAAATTGGAAATAATGTTTGCCTCCATACCCTCGATTAAATTGAGAGTGCCCATGAGCCTCTAGAGAGTTGTGTGGCCATCAGGTTGCTAACAAGCGAAGGTGATGGTAACGTTCGAGTCTTGTCTTTGTCATGCTTTAGGTAGGAAGTATTGGATAATGAAATTATTTTGTCTAGCCTTTAAAACCAATGAGTAAATCCCTTCAGATCATGATAGATTTAATCAAATCAATTTCTACAAGGAAGCCTATTTGCACAAGGAAATAAACTTATGAAAGAAAATATATTATAACTCAACAAGGAGTCAGCAAGTTGAATCAGTTGATAAAAATACTACAAGTGAAAAGCCTTGCACCTCCCAATTCTTGTTTCCCAATGAGAAATTCCTATAAATGCATGCACGGGTAATGTAAAAGTATGCAATCCTTTAAACTTTAACCAAATATCTACTAGCTTGTCTCTACGACATTTAATCCCATATATTCTTTGCATTGACAACTGATAGATCACTATTCTAATTATCACTTACCCTTTTTCAGCTTGATGATCTTTGTGCTAATAGTTCTTGTCTTATGGTCAGATTAGTATGGCTTTTGAAAAGTCAAAATGAGCTCTTTAGACCAAAGAGCAGTTTTTGGACCCATATGGCATGGCTTTTGAAGTGCTGCTTTTAGTTAGAAGAGCTTTTAAAATAAGTTGATCCAATATGGTTTCATCTAAAAGCACTTTTGGAATAGGAAGTGTTTTTAAAATTAGTTTTCAAATAAAAATTATGACTGCTTCATTCAAAAGCTATTCTATAAGAAATGAAAACAAAAGCAAAAGCCATGTCAAACTGACCCTTAATGTACAAGTAACATATAAATTGATAGAGACATGGTACGAGTCTTGTTTACGATAGAGTCAAAGAGATTTATGAGGCCAACAAATTTATATATGTATATTCACTAGTGTATATTACAACCAAACAAATCTAAACTATTATGCCTGTTTTCTCTAAAAAGAAGAAGACTGAACACCGACGGTACGTCTATAGGTGACTGGAATCTTCTATCTTGAATGTCGAACGAAGATCAAATTCAAAAGCATGAAACTTTCATAATTTGATTCAATGTTTTACTACAATGATTTAGAAAAAATAAAATTTTGTTCCAAACATTGTGATGATAAACATATACTATAACGTGGAGAGAGAGAGAGAGGGAGTTGCCTAACGAAGTATGTTATATTTCACACTGATACAAGGTTTAGAATTTTGTCAAGTTAAAAGACAGTTACTATTTTCATTCACTATTCTTATATATCTATCTCATTCAAAATTCATCCCTATTAAAATTTAAAAAACTTACTATATTTATCCACGATATTTTCCAACATTATTCTTATTAAATCCATATGTATAAACAATATATATATATATATATATATACCAGTATAGTAATTACATATGGCAACACGACTTCCTTGAGCTCTGCACGGTGTACTTGACTGCTCGTACAATCGTCATCCTGAACATCAAGTTTATATGTCAATCAATCTACAATTGTCATATCTTTCATGAAAAATTATTGAAACCTTTTAGATATTTGATTGCGAATGCACTCTAACATGTACTTTCTCTCATGGCGTCAACTAGTAATTCAAAAAGCATTGTAGAGGCTAAAGAAGAAGAAAATGTAGGATAAATTTTTTTGCCCAAATAATTGCGGTTTTAGACCATAAGTGTGATTGTTTTTTATTTCATCCTTTTTTTGAATGGTAATAAAATTTTGCAGCTCCCACGTTTCTATGATTCTACTCTTGCGTCTTCATTGAAAAGCCTAAAAGGTATGATTATCAAAAGAGAAACCTGGTTTTGATTATAGTATTCAGAATACTGTAAATATATAATATGACCAACAGGGGTGGAGCCAAGATTTATGTTCAGTGCGGGCATCATTTTTCGACGCCGAACTTCGAGATTTTGGTCGTAGATTTAATGATGATAAAAAAAAAAACAATATTACAACAACACTAAAAATAACATAATTTATATATTAAACTTGTTCCTTGCGAGTTTTCATATTTTGATATCGTCGTACAATAACTTCATTAACGAGCTTCAAAAATATATCTCTCTCTACATAAACAATAGTGCTATCATTCATCCACCGATCATCCATCCGATTGAACAATATATTCTTTACGATGCTCATTGCAGAAAAAACTCTCTCCACAGTAGTGGTAGCAACCGGTAAAATCAATGCTAAAGTTAAAAGTCTGTAAACCAATGGATATACCTTATCTTTCTTTGTCAAAACTAACTTCTCCGCAAGATCACCAAGGCCATTCAACCCTTCAAACTCTTTGTTAAAGCGCATGTCAAAAATATAAGTCTCAAGTTGATCGCTAAGTACAATACCATCTACTGCAGAGAAATCTAATGGATAAAGCTCAGCAAGTCTAATCAAATTTTTCTTGTCAAAAGAAGAAAATGAATCTTGTGGGCATAAACAAGCTACACAAAGGAGTAACTCTGTATTTACATCCGAGAAACGATCATTCAATTCCTGAAATTGTAAATCGATGACAGAGTAGAACAAATCTACTCGATAATGATGTAAATTTGTAATTTCTGGAGAATTACACTGAGGGCGACCACGAATTGCAAGGCGTACAAATATATCATCCATGTTGGGTACATGAATATAATGTTTTTGACAAAAAGAACATACTTCTTCCAAAAAGGAGTCCCACCCTTCGTCTCTCATTATTTGGAGTCGTCGTTTGCACAATCTCACCAATTGCATTGCATTCACAATATCTTGATCTTTTCTTTGCAATGCCTTTGACAGTTCATTTGAAATCCCCAACACACTTCTCATCAACTGTAGATTAAATGCAAAATCAAATCTTTGTATCAACTCCAATAAATTTGTTGCATCAGATCTTTGATCACAAGAACAAGACTCATCTTCAATAATTATTACAAGTACATCTAAAACAGAAGAGAACATGGCAAGCAAGCTGACCAAAGAATTATAATGTGAACTCCATCGTGTATCACCAGAGCGCTGAAGGGTCGTTTCTTGATTAAGTCCCCGTCCACTTAAAATCTCACATTTTTCCAATGCCTCAAAAATAAAGTCTAATTGTTTTTCTCGAAGAAGACATCGTTTGGAAGATGCTCCAATAGTATTTATTACGTTCCCAACCACACCAAAGAAGTTAGTAATAGGGATGTTCTTCTTTACCACAGCCACAAGCGCAAGTTGGAGTTGATGAGGAAAACAATGAATGTAAAAAGCACATGGACTCTCATTCAAAATGAGTGTTTTCAGACCATTAAACTTACCTTGCATATTACTTGCTCCATCATGACCTTGTCCTCTCAATCTAGACATACTCAAGTTATATCTAGAAAATACCTTATCAATTGCAGCCTTAAGTGATAGAGCCGTGGTACTTATAACATGTTCAATCCCTATGAAGCGTTCATTGACATGCCCACTATTGTCTACATAACGTAAAACAATAGACATTTGCTCCTTCATTGACACATCACAAATTCACAATGCAATTTATACTATTTCACAATCTAATTCACAATTTCACACTATCAATCCAATTTCACAACATAAATTCACATACCAAGTTATCCTTGTGTGACAGAGTGACTGAGTGAGAATGACTAAATCAATGAAAATATGAAAAATCGAAGAAATGAAAATTAGGTAGCAGCCAAAATCGAAGAAATGAAAATTAGGCAACAGCAGCCATAAATTAAAAATAATCTTTGTATCTCGCAGACTCGCACTGGCAGACGGCTCACGGCAGTTTAGTTGGAATTTGGAAGAACGTCTAAATTCGGAATTAATTACCTTCTTTACAAGCGGCAGCTGGTGCGGACCGTGCGGTGGCACCTGGCAGACGGCGGTTCAGTTGCGGCCTAATCTAGGAGATGCACTTCACTGACTTCAGTTTCGGCCTAATCTAGACGGCAGGGGCGGAGCTTACACTTACAGGGAACTAAGGGAAGGAGATTAAAGCCCCTAATCTAGGAGATGCCGGCCACCGGTGACCGGTGCAGGGGCGGAGACGGGCGAAGCTTCGACTTTGAGAGCGCAGGCGAGAGACGAATATGGAGAGAGAGGCTATTAACGGATTAAGGGTTTGGCCTGATTTTGATTTCAAACGGGTTAAGAATGATGGGTCTGGGTCATTGGGTCTGGGTCGGTAAACGTAAACGGGTTATGGGCTGTGGTTACTTGGGTTGGGCTTCCATCTGGATTGTTACTTGTTAACTAGGCTTTCAAAAACCAAAAAAAAAAAAAAAAAAAAAAATTATTTGGGCCTAGTGGAGCCCAAAAGTTCAGTGCAGGCAGAGTTACTTGGGTTGGACTTCCATCTGGATTGTTACTTGTTAACTAGGCTTTCAAAAAAAAATAAAAAATAAAAATTATTTGGGCCTAGTGGAGCCCAAAAGTTGGGGCTCCGCCCCTGATGACCAATGATGTTCATTGTATGCAGGTTTGTTTCTGATATGGAGATAGTTCACTTACATTGGTTGGATGATTGTCCCTACAACTTAATGGTATGCACCAAACATTATCCTTAGTAATTCATTATTATTTCTTTAAGCTTTTATTAAGAAGATATTTTATGAATATTAGGATTTTAGTTAAAAGTAATTCTAAAAGAATATAAAATGTTAAAAAACATTTGACAAGGATAAATAATGGTTAATCAATTTAGAATGATAACTATTATTGTGTTTTATTCCTATCTATTTAAGTAATTTTACATGAAGTTAAAAAATGTAATATAGAGTTCTTTAAAGGGTAATTGTATTACCATTATAAATTTTATTAAGTGCACCACAATTTTCTTATTTTCTAAATATCCTTAAGTAAAATTACATAATTAGGGTTTTAATACACTTTTTAATTAAATAAATTATTATTACATCACAAATATAAAACTTAATTTCTTTCTTTCTTTTTCTTCAACATGTCATTACTCATAACTTTTTTGACTGCTTTTCCCTTGTTCCACAGTAGGGAGATAATTCATTTCCAGTTTATTCTAACGCTAATTGTCTGTTTGATTACAAAGACGAAATTTGGGTGGAAAGAAAACGAAATCCACAGAATTGAATTGCCTGGAAATTGTTTTATTGGAAACAACGAAGAATACTATTGGGATGCAGAGTATACCAAACTAATATATTTTTTCTTTATATTTAGTTTTAATTGGATTAGGATTATAAGTAAATTGTTGTGGTGTATTTATTGAAAAAATGTTCTAAACATGGTGTGATTATATTATAGTGTAGTGAGAAAAAATGTGGTGATAATATAACTACCATATGACCCAAAACAATTCTATCTTAATCCGATATATGCACAAAAATAATAATAATAAAAGATTGAACCCCAACTTTGAGAGTTCTCATCGTCTCGCTCCTAGAGTTTTGTGAGGGAGGTAAATTGTGGGATGTGTCCCAACAGGCGAGGGAACAAGAGCTATCTATACACTACGCCCACAAGGAATCCAATTCCATGTCTCGGGAATCGAATACCAACACTACGACTGTCAGCAAAGCGTAAGATAATCTCACTTCTGTCATTTGCACCACTAGGCTATGCCCCAGATAAGTCATCAAATTTGGTACTTCTTGATCCCAGTTACTATGGGGAACAAAGGAGGAATTTTTTATTTTTTTTTTTCCCAGATACATGATTTAGAGGGGACATCTGTGGAAATATATATAATAAATAAAATAATTAAATTGACTGTGTCAATTTCAGTCAATTTAGAATAAATAATACATTTAAGTCAATAGATATCTAAAGTTTACTAAGCCCATCCCACTTTAAAGAATGCCCATCATACATTTAAAATAAAACCCATTAAAATTAAATTAAGATAGAAGTAATTAAAGGTGATGTGGCTACAAAAAAAATAAATAAATAAATAAAATCTTTATAAATAGGACCTACGGTCTATGAAAAATCATAAGTCACAAGTCTAGGAAAAACACAATAGGTTAGGAGAAAATCCAAAGGGTTCGGAGGAAAAAGAAAAGAAATTATTTCAAGTCCAAAAAATTTCAAGAAAATAAAAGTTTTATCTAATTCAAAGTCAAGTCCTACTTTCGAAAATTCAAGCAAATCAAGTTTCTAACGAGTCCTGAAGGGGGGTTTAAGACACATGGCCCCCTTTCCAAACATTCGAATTGCCATTCATAGCAATGTGCGTTTTCACAGTCTCAAGAGGTTATTTCGATTTGTACTTTTAGAAAAAATCAATTTGAAACAATTTTGTATCTTTCCTAGCATGGCCATTACTGGCCAACCATCTTGTCCAATTTCATAAAATAGACTAAAGGATGCCAGAAACATGGACCAGTGCAGCATGTACCAACTTCAGAATTGCATCCGATCCTAAAGTAAAGACTTCGCGCATCGACGCTTTGATCCCTTGTTTCACTCCGGCTCGATCACACGTAAGAAAATACGCCTTGGCAAAGCTCTACCTCACAAGAAGAAGTTTCGTCACTCACCTGAAACAAAACCAATCGGGAAAGCCCCAAAAAAAAAATTTTGTTGTGCAATATGGTTTGTGCATTTCAAGTTTTATCTAGGTTTTAGCTGAAGCCTTGTATTGAGATTCTGGGGATGAAGTACTCTTGCAACAGGTATTGGGTACGGAACCGAAATCGTCAAGTTGATTTTAGGAGTGAAGATTGTAGAGCTGATGATGATTTCAGTGCCCGATGGTGATTTCGTCGTTGTGTGTGGAGTTATGTATGTTGAGCTCAGGTTGATTTTCATATTTTTTTTCTTTTTTAATTCCCTATTTATTTTTCTAATTATTTTAACTGTTTTGAGATTAAAAAAAAAAAAAAAAAAAAAAAAAGGGAGAATCTCAATTTTACTCTTGTTGAAAAATGGTCAATATTAGGTTAATTGTGAACTATGAGAGTTTTGAACGAAAATTATGCAAAGGTATTTCAATTGCCTATTTCTAAAGCTTATGGACAGCGTTGTAAAAAAAAAAAAGGGTTCTAGACCTATATGCACTTGTGAAAAGGTTAGGGACCCAAATGAAAATTTTCATTTGGCACTTTCCTACAAGGATCATGCTATATCTATAATTTATAATATATTAAAATATCAAGGGAAAATCATTTTTGAACGATTTTAACCTCCCACAATTTAATTATTTTAATAATACCATACTTTTTATTTTTCGATATGTAATAAATACTACAAAATTATTGTCATTTATGAAATTTGTGTTATTAATTCTCAATTAATTAACATTAAGAGTGCGTTTAATTGCCTATATTTTCTATGAAAAATGTGTTTTTCTACTCAAATTCTTACTTTTTTGCTGTTTGATTGCCATTTTTTTCTTCATGGAAAATATTTTCTCACTTTTGGTCACGTGACCATATTTTTTTCAAAATCGAGGAAAATATTTTCTTTAGAAAGAGTGAGATTTTATTTTTCACGGAATTTACTCGCTTTTTCTTACTCTTATTTATCCACTCTCTTTCATTAATCCACCAATAAAAAATGGACAAATATAATATTTTCTAGGTTGAAAATTAAATCAATCAAATACATTTAATTAACAATTTCCGTACAAATAAATTCTAGACAATTGAATTACCTAAAATTTATTTTATTTCCATGCAAATTTCATACTTACAATCAAACGCACCCTAACATTAATCTAGATTCAATGAATTTTCACTTGATGAATCTTGAATTATATGAATCTAGAGTTATTATAGATGAATTTATTCATATTCACGTATCTATAAATTTTAATGAGTGTTTAAATTTATGTATTAACAATTAATTTTTATGTATCAAAGATAATATAAAAAGATTGCTCATTTATAGTATTTCATCATTATAAAAAATTTGAATCATAGAAATTGAGTTTTGAGAGTACAATTTTCTTTTCTTAAATTTTTATGATAAATTTTATTTTCTTTAATTCGTTCGAGACTCATCAAATCCTTCAACAAATTGGTACCAAATATTACTTTAACATCACGTATAAAGTATTTTAGAATAACGTACAATGTACGTTCAATGTTTACTAGTGTACATAAAAGTTGACAATGTGAATCGGTAGATTTTGGTACACTGATCTTGACAACACCTTTTTTAAACAAGCATCGAATTTTTGACACTCAACAAGTACACCTTGTGTGTACATACATACTATATTCTCATGTTATATTGAATGTTCATTTAGTTTTGGTAAGTCGACAATTAGGGATAAATCAGATGATTGATTGAGTTGATCAAAGCCAAATTTTTGGACAACTTATCAAATTCAAGCGTAATTCCATTTATGAATCCTGAAGGAAACGTTCATTTTTCAACATCGATGCTATCGATAAATTTAGATTTTAGTTACCTTTTCTTGTAATTTGTGCTAGTAACAAGTGATATATATATATATATATAAAGCTATTTTATAAATTATATCTTCATTTTGATTAAGAATTATATATATATGATCAACATAGTGTATGCTTCAAGTATAGTTCTTACACTCGATCCGGCCGAAATATTGGATCTCGGGTTACTAGTCAAACTGATGGGTCACTGCTAAAGAATTCTAAAAAAAAAAAATTTAAGTATAAATTTTCTCTTTGATGCAAAATTATACTATTCAAATTATTAGTCGTTGATTATTTATATATTTTTTAGATTATTTTGTTAAATATTCAATTCATCTTAATTAAAATTAGGAAAATATTTTTTATGAAAATATTTTTAGAAACAATAAATGATTAATGTACATTTAAATATTATTGCAAATGAATACTAAGAATCTCTAATATTTTAGTGGTTTGGTGTTCTCTTTCCTTGAGATCCAATGTTCAAGTCTTTCGAACATCGAAACTTTAAATACAATTTTTGAACTTTGGTCAAATGAGTCAACAGAGCTGTATGGGCCGACGTTTTATAAATAAATCGTTAGTTAACTTGATCAAATCCGATTTTTGACAGAGTCATTGTAACTATGATTTTAAATCAATATGCATTTCACGTGGGCAACTTGCATTAATAAACACACTTAATTTTATGTAAACAAGGAAGATTAATTAATCATCTTGATTAACAAACAGACGTGTATATCACGAAACATCATATTCTTACAGAGAAATTAAAAACACATTATTTTATGATCTAATCGAGATTGCTTATTTAACTTCTTGGCATAAGTAAGAACCATGAAATTTATTATATAAAAAATTATATTGTAAGGGTTAAACCCCTTTACCAGGACCACATAGGCCCTGGCTATGTGGCCTTGGCAATGTAGCACGGTTCATATTGTAATCATTGTGTTGTTAGTATTTCTTTTTCTATTACCGACATCGCACATCATGACTCGTCCCATCTACGCTAAATCATTAAATTAAAATTTTAGTTCCTCGAAATGGAAGAGTATAATACGAATTAATACTGCAAATTGTAATGAAAATGCATTTAAAAGCTTTATAGTATTTTCAAGAGATTCTCTATTTTCAAAATATCTATAAATTTAAAAAGTTAAAATTTTGAAATATTCCAACTTCTTCTTTATATTTAATACTTAATTTTACTATTCTCAAAAAATATTTATTATTTTTTCTATATTTTATTTTAACTTGCTTTTTTTCAGATTATTTTATTATTTTCCTACATTGAAAATTGAAACACTGTGAATGCATTTAATTATAGAAAATGAATTTGCCCACTCTCTAAATTAAAATATTAATTTAAATAGTCTCTTGATATATTATTTTAAGAACTAATTCTTTAAAATAGAGAGCATTATATGTTTGAAGAGTTTCTTAAGTGCTATGCATAAACACATAGCCTTTGTTTAAGTCCCATTTTGGAGAAAAAATGTATTTTTGAATAGTGTATTGATGGAAAATGTGTGGTTAAAAAATAAAAAAAATTTTGAAATTTACGTGTAATATTATTTTTTTGAAAATTATGTGGTTAAAATGATATCAATAAATTATTTAAAAATGTATTTTTGTAGTTGCAGTCTCTAAATATTATCCTTTGGACAGTTGGATGCCAGCTAAATATATCCATAATTATTAGATTTTTTGGACTTTCAATTCAAGAGCATGGCCCCGTTTGATACCCATTTTTTTGTTCAAAATATATTTTTCTCTCTCTTCTTTTTAACTACATATTTTTTATTAAAATAATATTATACATAAATAAAAAACTTTTTCTTATATTCCAACCACACATTTCACATCAATTTACTATTCAAAAATGTATTTTTACATAAAAATGCCTCCCAGACACCCTCTGTAAGAGACGATTTGAATTCGGTACATTTGTACTTGAAAATTAACGTGAATCACATCTCTTTAACCATGCTATAGTGTCACTCTATAGAATCCATGTCTTCTTTTTCACATTCCTAGAAGATCCTTTGGAGATGCCCCATTGCACCAAAATTTGGTGCAAACCTTCCTCCAACCAGTGCACAATTTTGGTGCAAAACGAGTATTGCACCATATTTGGTGCAACACTATTAATTGCAACATTTTTTGCACAAAATGGTGTAATGTTTGTTTTGCCATTATTTTTCATTTTTGAAAGATAATGGTTTAGAGTATTTATGTCATTTTCGTTCTATAATAATAATAATTATTATTATTAGTATTATTATATCATTAAAGTTTATTGTTTTTAATAATATAATCAATAATAATTAAGGATTTTTTTAATTTAGTAATTAATTTTGTAAATTTAATGTAATTTTTTTATCATAAATTAATATAACCTGTTTGGGAGTGATTTTTTTGCCCAAAAAATTAATTTTTTGACCATTATTTCACTATTCCAGCCATCATATTTGACTTCTTCTCTCACAGGTGGACCCTACTTTTCTCTTAACGGTCAAAAAATCAATTCTCGAAATTACTCCCAAACAAGCTGATAATTTAATCAATTATTTTCGTCAATTTAACATAATATATAAAGCATGTGAATAATTTAGTAATCAATATATTTGTTAATTTATTGAAATTATGATTTACAAATTTATATAGTTATAAAGTAATTAACAAAATAAATATTTTTTTGAAATAAATACATTGTTAAAAATTGAAAGAATGAATAAAATAATAAAGTACTGTTCATTTGGTGTAAGTTTTGGTGTAATGATTGGAGAAAGATTTTGGTCTGGTTCAAGATTTGGTGCAAAATTTGATTTAAAATAGTACAAATTTTGGTGTAGCGCTAGAAACGATCTTAGTACCCTTGCAACAAGTAATGGATATGGAATTGTGGCGGCAATCGTCGAGTTGGTTTTAGTAGTGGAGATGGTAGCATTGATGATTTTGCCATGGAGTGGGATGGTGACAACAGTGGTTCAATTTCAGCGTCCGATAGTGATTTGGTCATTAAGTGTTTAGAGAATGATGATTGATTTTCATTTTCATTTTTTTTTTCACTTTTTAATTTCTTATTTATTTTTCTAATTATTTTAACCGTTTTGAAGAAAATAAGGGAGAATGCCAATTTTACTCTTGTTGAAAAATGGTCAAAATTAGGTCGATTGTGAACTATGCAAGTTTTGAATGCAAATTATGCAAAGGTCCTTCAATTGCGTAGTTCTAAAGGTTAAAGGACAGCATTGTAAAAAATAAAAAGTTCTAAACCTATTTGCACCTTTGAAAAGGTTATGGACCCAAATGAAAATTTCCCATTTTCGTATGTCACTTTCCTATAATTTCTCATTTTATCTTGATTGTTCGTTTAGTTTTGGTCAATCGCCAATTAAGGATAAATCAGTTGATCGATTAAGCAAATTAATGCCAAATTTTAGAACAATATACTAAATTCACCCCTTCAAGGAATCGTTCATTTTTCAAGATCGATTCCATCAATAAATTTAAATTTTAGTTATTTTTTCTCGTAATTTGTGTTACTAACACGTGAATTCGTTATTATTTTATAAAAAAATACGCATTCTATACGCATTGAGGGCAACTTGCAATAAGCACGCTTAATTTTATATAGACAAAGGATATTAATTAATAATGTTGATTAACAAACAGACGTGTAGATCACGAAATATCATTTTTTTTAAAGAGAAATTTTAAAAAATGTTATTTTATTGTCTAATCAAGATTAATTATTTAGCTTCTTGGCATAAGTAGGAACCATGAAATTTATTATATGAATAAGATATAATGTGATTATCGTACTGTTAATATTTCGTTTTCTATTAGTTTATTACCGACATCGCACATCATGACTCATCCTGTCACCATAAATCATTAAATTAAAAATTTTAGTTCCTGGAAATGGAAGATATTTAATATGAAAATACAATATTTGTAGTTAAGAATTAATAATGAAAATTGCAATGAACATCAATTTAACAGCTTTATAAATACATGCATATATACATAAATAGAAAATTTGCATTTGCATTCTCTAAACATTGCCCCTTTGATGGTTCGACACGACTAAAATTTATCTATAATTATTAGATTTTTGAACTTTCAATTCAAGTGTATAAAGGACATGATTTGAACCCGTGACGGTTTGTACTTGAATTACCTCGCTGCCAAATTCATTCACATCCCTTCAATTGTTCTACAGTGTCATTGTAGCATTTTACATCATTAATTGTTCCGTTGATGTACAAATGAAATTTTTTAACTAGACGTGGAAGGGGGAAAAAACTACTCCATCCCCCGCTGGCAGAGGCAACTCCCCTAGGCTAACGTGCCCAGTTCGAAGATAAGAAATGTTATTCGGATTTTATTTTATTTATTTATTTATTTATTTATTTTTAATATTTGCCTATTTCAAAATATAATTTAGCTCAACCTAACATAATTTTTTAGTCTTGTCCTTGCAACATACCACCAGTCCAGTACAACCTCCCACCACCGCCACCACCACCTCCACCCCCTCACCCCATCTCCATATAATTTAAGCCGTAAATTTATGTGTACAACATTTATTTTCAAGAATAATCCCAAATTGTTACGAACATGCATGCAACTCATGCTAATAAATACATTTACATACGTAAACACACAAACAAATTAAAGAAAAGCAATGTTTTTGTTTTTATTTTTTTATATCTACTTCTTACATTTACTGCAGTTCAGAAATAACTCAAAAATTGCTAGGATATGAATTGAAGGAAAGTCCCATAACAGGAATGGCAAAAGATGTCTCCAAAAGCAACCTCTGTTGGAATGACTCGATTGTACCACTCCCATCAACAATGTCTTTCATCAAATTACAATAATATTCTTTGAGCTTTTTAAGCATAAGCGAGTGCTTCAACTTCAACCATCGCATCTTCACCCGCCGGAAAACTCTTATCAGCAAGAATCTGCCATGAGACTTCTTCCCACCGAGGCGGATTGCAGCCAGTTTTCTCCGCCGGAATGATATCTTGCAACGATTTGGCCATCGGAATGTGGTGGTCGAGTGGTGGCGGCGGCTGAGTGTCTGGATCAAGGGATCACAATCTGAGGACATTGTGAGTGGTAGGGGGCTGGAGGTGTGGATGGAAGGAGAGAGTTGACTATGAGAAAATAGAGGCAATTTGTAGTGTGCTTTTATAAGTAATAAATAGGTTCATGGGCGGTGGTGTATAAAGAGGTTCCTTGAACCTTACTTTGAAGGCAATTTTTTTTTTTTTTTTAATAATGTTACGTAGTCTCATTGGAGTTACAATTTCAGTATAAGTGACGCTAAATGATAGGCTGAATGAAATGTAAAATTAAATTATTTATTAATTCCATCTATCATTTAATGCTATATTAACACAATCTAAATTGAGATTGTAATTTCAGTGCGACTAAATAGCATTACTCATTTTTATTTTATTTTATTTTTTTTTTCAAGATTTTCATTGTTATGATATCATAGCTAATCTGTATCGTTGATATTCTCTGCCTTATTTGATACCCTAATTAGTTAAACCAACTTCTTAAATAATTAATATTTTAACTTATATGAGAAAACAAAAATAAGTCCCTTAAATAATTGAAAAAGTAAATAAATCAAGTTGTGGGTTAAATAATTGTAGAATATTTCTCATTTTTATATATATATAAAATAAACTTGTCATTATCTTGATTTGGAAGTTTCAAGGCAATTTTTGAAGAGAATTTTTAAATGTAAGATGCTCTATATTTAGAGAATCAATCCATGTAATTATGCTCTAATACACAGTAAAACCTTTATAAAATAATAATATTGGGATCGAGAAAAATTATTATTTTAAACGAGTTATTAATTTATTGATAAATGAATAATTTATTAATTTATCGATAAATGAATAATTTTTAATTTATAGAATATTTTATATTTCCATAACTTGTACTATTATATTTTAATTTACCATAATATTTGCAGTGATTCTTTTTTTTTTTTTTTTAAATATTGAATGTTGTAAAATTCAAAATTTAATCTGTAAGCACACCCATTAAAGAGGGAAAATTAAGGTATATGAATTGGCTCCAAAGTTTACTGATGATCATAATCCATATGATAGTGATGTTTTACTAACTATTTCTTCAAAAGAAGCATTTCAAGCCGTCATAACTTTAAATGATTATTTTGTACAAAATGGAAAAAAAAAAATGCTAAATGTAGTATGTGCATTGGAAAAATTTATGTATGAAATTGAGTTTGGTTTGAGTGCCAAAAAAAAAAAAATAATAATAATAATAATAAATACTTTTTATGCATATTTTGAAAAAGAAACGAATTTAAAAAAATGTTGTGTTAGACTTCCTGGCCGATGATAGGAGGTTAGATTTTGTTGCGGACATCTTGCCGAAAGGGAGTGTCTATTAACTAACCATTCCATAAGGCGTTCCTAGCCTTTTCATTCGATATAGTCTCACAAGTAACCAATTCAGCACTGAATTGTACGAAATAGTTCTTACGAGACTATTATTATTATTTTTTTTTTGATATCCAGGTATCCCAACTTACACCAAACTAAATTTTGTACCTCCAAGACCCTTGCCCCTAGAACCTTGGAGGGGGTAAATCGCGGGTTATGTCTCAACTGGATCACAGGTTCCCCCCATTGCCTGTACACTTCTGCGCACAAGAGACCCTCCTCCACAGTGATTGCTCCATACCAAATCTTTGGCTGCAGGTTCCCACCAGGAATCGAACTCTCCACCCTGCCGCTGGAAACAAGACAATGTTGATTGATCCACCAGTTGAGCTGTGCCCCGGAGGGCTCTTACGAGACTATTCTTCCTCTTACCTCATATAGTTCAACCTCATGGTCAATACTGTCCCTTCTGCTTCTAGCGAAGGCTTTTAGAAATGCCTTCTTCAACTATAGCCAGCTCCTAATTCAAGTGTTATATTGGATCACCCTTACCACTGTATTTTTTCATCACAGGATGGATAAAGTTATTCGAAATTGAAATCATCATCCAACTTAAATGATCTCATCAATCAATCTTCATATTCCTCATACAAAGCAATGTTACATGGAGCATTGAATAGGCTTTCTACTCTTCGACCTTCATGGCGATAGCTCAGGTATACTTCCTGTCATAAGTGTTCACTTAATCTGCAAACCTCTCCAAGGTAGGTTTATTTATCCGCCGTTCCTTTCATTTCTTTTTTGGCATACTATTGTAGGTTTTCCACACCTATAGGTAACTGTTGTTTTTCACAAAAAAATTGGTGATAGGTTCTACTTCATTCTCTTTGGATTCACCATACAGATTTACCCACAAATTTTCAAGCTTTGCACATAGACATGTATTGTCTGCCATTAGTGCCTCGAGGCTTTTTGCCATTTCTTGTAAAGTTTTCATCGTAGAAATTTTCTTCCGTAAGCGGCAATGTTGGGCTGGAGAAATGTCGATGTTCCCTCCCTCTGTCGTTTCTGGTTGGTATCATTGTTTATTGGATTTTCGTTGTTCTCTTCTACTGCAACTTTCAATACTTTAATGTACTTCGAATTTAGCTCGTCTGGCTCATTTTTTGTAGATTTCAAAGATCTTCAAGTTCAATGAATGAATTTGTGGATTTGTTTTGCTCAAGTTTCCCACAGAGAATGTCAATTTGTTGACGGTAAAATTACTGTCAACAAATTTCTCTCATCTAGCTAGGATTTTCTTCTCCTAAATTCTTTGATTTTGATGCTTAAACTTGTTCAACGGGACAAATGACTATTTGGAGGGAAATATTTGAATTTACATGATTTCCTTTTTTAGGTGAGAGTATTTACAGATTTCCTTAAAGGTTTTAGAAGCAAATAGATCATTCTGGAAGATAGCATATTGTGGTTGTTTAGTGGTGAATTGATAACTGATTCTGTTATATGTTCACATGTTATTCATTGGTATAAAAGTCATGCTTTTCAATTTATCCACGTGTATTTTAATAATGAATTTTGTCGTCATTGGGAGATAGTTCGCCCATTTTCTTCTGTGAGCCTTGTAATTACCTTTGCGTCTCTCTTGAACATCGCCCAAGGGGAGCGAACCCACAGCATAGATTTAAAGATTCAACAGCAGTTATGCACGTCCATTACCTATTGTGAAGTTGATGTCCTCTTTCACGGATCTTGGTTTTATATTTGTCATGAAGCAAATGGGGGCAGCCCAAGCATTTGTACGCTTTAATGATTGTACTTAGCTAGGTAAGCCTCCATCCTTTCTTGTACACATTTTGTTATCTGATATTTCGGGATAAAGCTCCATTCTTGATTCTTTAGAAAAAGGTTCTATGAAGACTCCAATTGGGCCAACTTGGATCTTTAATTTTGAAATTTTTAGTCTAGTATTCTAATTTCTTGATAATTTCGAATGTGTGGGGGACGTACATGATTATACCGACATGAATATTATTGTTTAAGCTTCTCTCGTTGTGTCAATACAACATGTTAAAAATACATAATAATATTATTTAGGGTAATTAGCATAAAACGTCCCTACCTTTCATGATTTTTATGAAAAACATTCATACCTTTCGTTTTTTGGCGCATTTCATCCTTACCTTTACATTTTATTGTGCAAAACATCATTTTCATCATTTTTCTCAGTAAAAAGCTATAAAATAACTAATATACCCTTCTATTTAAATAAAAAAAATAAAGAATTAAATGCAATCGTAGTTCCAAATAAAAAAAAAAAAAAATTCTTCACCTCCTCTTTTGAAATTTTTTTAAAATTGGAACTATGATTGCAATTAGTTCTTTATTTTTTTTTAATTTAAATAGAATGGTATATTAGCCATTTTATAACTTTTTATTGAGAAAAATGATGAAAAAGATGGTTTCCACAGGAAAAGGTAAAGGTAGGGATGAAATGCGCCAAAAAACGAAAAGTATTGAGTTTTCCAAAAAAATCATGAAAGGTAGGGACTTTTTGTGCTAATTACTCATATATTTGATATACTATACTGTACAACACTATACAATGAACAAAATTAAAATTTCATTTTTCTTAATCTTTTGAAGTCTAAACTGTTAAATATATTATCACTGTGCATTGTGAGTGAAATAACACTACTAATTGTTATTAATAGTTACTTTATGTGGTTCGCTAAACTTATTTTTCAAGGTTAATTATTTTGCTCGTGATTGAACTTTTCTCCAAGTTACTATAGTGTCCCTAAACTTCAAAGTTTTTCTCAATGGTGACTTAACTTCAAATTATGTTACCCTTTAGTAATTTGTTAGCATTCCGTCTCAAAAGGTTAATAAACATTCCCATATGGCACACAAGGTTTTGCGTGTCCGCTGTTCACCTTTGAAGAATGCCAAATCGGGCTAAATCGTGTAATTTATAGCTCGAATCACATTCTAAAAACCCATGTTTGCAAGAAATTTCTTGTGGTAAATAATTATGGGTAGCCATGAGATTCATGTTATTCGAAATATTTTGTTCAATATAGTTATGGTTTCTTACATAAAACTTGGATGGATAGTATACAAATCATTTTGATTATTGTAATTATGTTCAGTTGTTTTAAGTAAAATTAAAAAGATGACGAGTCAAATAATATGTATTATGTTCATCTTGATTTTTAATTATAAGGTTTTCTTATAGTCATCCATGTGCAAACCAAAGTTCATGATTTAGTTTGGCTGTTTTCATGAGATAAGGTCTGAAAATTAAATGATTCCACTTTTGGTTAACTGGGGAGTGCTTATACCAAACTTGGATCAAAATGTCATCATAATTGCTTTTGTAATTAATAAAAATGGATAATGTTAAAGCCTCTATTCTGGATTTCTATTTCTATATGTATGCAGACAGCCAGCCATATAAAGGGGAGTTAGCTTATTTGAGTCTGAATGTGTGATAGATAAATAGGTCTTTTGAGAGAGTTGGAATTTGTCTCATATACCCCTATTTTTGGTCATTCCCGCCTTCGTTTTTCATATTGCTTTGGGATCATTGTAGTCACCATCCAGAGGTGAGTTCTGCTATCCATTTTTGCTGTCCAATCAATTGCAAAATTGACACCTCATGGAAAATTGAAGTTGTCGTCAATTTTTATTTTTAAAACTAAAGTTGTTGTCAATGTTAATTTTTCAAGTTTAACATTAATTTTAATTGTTCATGACATGTCAA